GGGAGCCGGCCTTGACCTTGAGAGGCCCGCCGGATCCCCCGCCTCTCGCCCCTCCTCCTCGCGAGGCTCCTGACATTTACAGGAACCTTTGCTGCCTCCCAAGATACGGTTACGGCGCACCGCGCCATCGCCCTAAGCAGGAAAGGTTAGGGAGCCGGCGGCTCGCTGGGAACCCCACGCAGCCCGCCCGGAGCCTGCTATTCTCGTCTGGGGGTGGCGCTGCCCGCTGGCTCCGAGCCCGGCGCTTTGGGGCAAGGGTTTCAGGAGCACCCACCCACCTGCGGTGCCAGGCCAGCGATCTGAGCCACGCCTTCCTCCCCAACCCATGCTTGGCCTTGGGACAGAGCCCCTGTCCTTGCGCGGCCTCCTTGTTGGGGCACAGGCTTTTGAAAACTCTAGTCTTTTCTTGAGATGCCTTGGATGTGTTCCACTGAGGGGCCTGGAGCTGAATTTCCATTAGAACAGACAACATGCCCAAGGGTACCCTTGTGTAAGCAGTGGTGGCAGGCCGGGAAATTGCTGCAACACCTCGGTTCTGCCCTCTGGCTAAGGAACGTTAACTGAATTATTGGGCAGGTCCACTCGGATTGGGGAAACTCTGAAATAGATTTTTCAATAAATCTGACATACGAAAATATGGATTTACAAAATTGATCAGTTGAGGCTGATTATTCACTCACTTCTATTAAAAAAATTTTTTTTGTAAGTAGTTCTAAGGAGTAAGTTTTTCTTTCTGTATTTAAATTAAGATTTGAGACCAGCACATGGCTTTGCTTAAGGCACTGGATCCCATGGCCGACTTGGGTTTGAGTCCCAGACCCAGCTACTTGAAAAACATGCCAGATGCGTGTGCCTGCCAACCCAAAGTCCCAGAGAAGAATGAAGGAGAGAGGATTGTGCATGGCCATACGCCTTCCCACCAAGGAGCATGGGGGGTGATCTCTCACTTTCCCTTTCCCTCTCTGTCTCTCTCCCAGGAGTGCATGTACCCTATGGCAAAAACTTAAAAAGAATAAAACAAAATACGGAACTCTCAAATGGGCAACTCATTCCTTTTACTAATATTTTTACTCATTTTCATAGTACTTTATTTTATCTTATTTATTTATTTATTCATTTTTGGAGAGGTTTTTGCTATAGGACCTGTGCGCTCGCCAGAAAGACAGAGAGAGACAGAGAGACAGAAAGTGAGAAATCACCCCCCAGGGGAGATGGCCATGCTGCAATCCCTTCTTCTCCATTCTCCTTGGGATCTTGGGCACACACATACACGCACCCAGTGTGAGTTTAAGCCACCGGGTCCAGGACTCGAACCGCGGGCGACTACATGGGAGTTCAGCGACATAGCCATTATGCTAACTGCTGGTCCCTTATCTTATTTTATTAACATATGGAGTGCTACTTTGCCAAACACTACTATAAGCGCTTCATTGGTGGTATCCCATAAAGTAGGTGTTGGTATGGGTATCTGCAAGGTCCCAATCCTTTAGGCCAGTTAAATAATTCACAAAAACTCTTGCAGCACCGAGAATCCAATGCAGATCTGCCACTACCAAGAACTTCAACAGTTTCTGAGAAGGAAGGGACCCTTGAATCTAAAAATCTCCAAAATCTAAACTGAACCCACCTGCCTCCCTGGGTCAAACACTGGTACACATCAGTGTGGGAAGATAATCTGGATTTGTTTTCTGTTGTGTTTTGAAATTAATGAACTCTTGAGCTCTCAGACAACCACAGATCTTCATGAAAGAACTAACAACGCAGTAGATCCCTCATCTCCGCCTTATCCCTGTGCTGAATTTGCATTTCATTCATGCATTCCATTGATCCTGAGCCGAGACCGTGTCCAGAGCTGTGTAGCGGGACCGTTTTCAGAGCTGTGTAGAACAGAAGGATGGTTCAGACACAAGACACGACCTTGGGGAGCTCACAGGATAGTGGGAGTTTTAGGGCTCCAAGTGGAAATGTGCCCATTTGGGAGTAATGTGGTGTGCAAAAAGAAAAAGATTAGTTAAGAATAAAGTGAAGTAAGAAATGTTCTTAAATTCAATCACCCTTTGGCTGCTGTGCCGCTGCTCTTTTAACCACCCTTCATAATAGTTCTCTGCATTCATCCTCGCTCATTCCCACCTCCCATTCACTCACCACCTCGCTGCAGTCTGGCTTCTGCCCCCTCCACCACTCTACTAAAACTGTTCTTGCCAGAGTTCCTAGGGCTTTCTGATTGCCAAATCTGTAGCACACTTTGCAGGCCTTATCTTGACCTTTCAGCTGCGTTCGACACTGCTGGCTTTGCACTCTTGAGTTTCTTACTCCTTGCTTTGATCACGCTTTCTGTTTCTGCTCTCTTTTTGAAAATTCCTTCATGAACTTGCCCAATTTACACGTTAGTGTCCCTAGGTTTCTGTCCTCAGCAGGCTGCTCTCTGATTTTATTCTCTCCATTCACCAGGAATTTTTTTTTTTTTTTGAGAGATTTTTGCTATTGGACACGTGCCCTTGCTGGAGAGACAGAAAGATACAGAGACAGAAAGTGAGAAATTACCCCCCAGGAGGATGGCCACTCCTCAAACCCTTCTCCTCCATTCTCCTCTGGGGATCTTAGGCGTGCACGCACACGCACATGCACCTGGCATGAGTTTTAAGCCACCGAATCTGGGACTCAAACCACAGTCTATTATGTGGGAATCCAGCCATGTAGCCATTATGCCATCTGCTGGTCCCCTCACCAAGGACTTAAATATGCTACTCCTTCTCTTCTGGGATGATTCGGTTCAGACAACACCGTCTAAAGCTTTCCCTGATCCTCTTCTTGCTGCTGTCCTCCACCTATTAAGGGCTCCTTTCCCTGCACACCTCCAGAGTAGATTAATCAAATCCAGTGAAATGATCTGTTTCCATGTCACAGTCCCCCACTAGAGAATAAGCTTCTTTTGCCTGTATCTGCAATACCTGGGACAATGTAGTAATCGATGAGTCCTTGTTCAGTTGTCCTGAGTTGTGAGCCACCTTGGTATGCCTGCACTTAAAGCCAGTAGAGAGTCGATGACAGCCACCTTGGTATGCCTGCACTTAAAGCCAGCAGAGAGTCGATGACCAATCAATGTATTCTCCTCAGACATTTATTATGTGCTTGCTGTGTGTCAGACATTGCGCTTGGGTTACAAAATATGCCTGGCCTCAGGGAAGACGGAGTGTAGAAGAGAGGCAGATGAGGGTAAGCAGATAGCACGATGTGTTGGGGTTATGCTGAAGGTACAGGTCTGTGCCAGTATTGAAGGAACCAGAGCATGGGGGTGCCATATATAGGAGAGGAAGAGGAAGTGAGGACAGCCTCATAGAGGAGTGGGAACTCAACTGAGACTTTTATTTATTTATTTTTTTTAAGAGAGATTTTTGCTATAGAGTGCATGCATTTGCTTGCAGGACAGAAAAAGAAACAGAGAGCAAGAAATAACTCCCTGGGGGAATGCCCTGCGTGAGATTTAAGCCACCAGGTCCGAGACGTGAACCGCGGTCGACTACGTGGGAGTCCAGCGACATAGCCATTACGCTAACTGCTGGTTCCCCTGGCGTGAGATTTTTAAGCTGCTGAGTCTAGGACTTGAACCATGCTCAACTATGTGGGAGTCCCGTGAATAACCATTATGCCATCTGTTGAGTTGGCATTCCCAGGGTGAATTTAGGAGGTGGGAAAATTATAGGCAGAATGAATAAAAAGTCAGGGGAGTTAGGGACTGTTCTCTTGGCCACATTATTTAATTTCTGATCCTTTTTCTTCCCTCATTTGTAAAAATTGGTAATGATAATACATACTCAAAGAATCTGTTGTGGAGACTTGATGAACCAACATATTTATTTAAATTTGCCAGAGGGACACAGAGAGGAAGAAGGAGAAAGCACTCCCCATGGAGAAGGGTCACACCGCAGTCCTTCATTTCTCCATCTTGTCAAGACTTTGGACATGCACACATGTGTACCCAGTGTAGTTTTCAAGCCACCGGGTCTGGAAGTTGAACTGTGCAGTGGAATCTGGCTTTCTCAACCACCAAATTAAGAGCTGGACCAAAGCAACATATTTGGTTTGTGACCCTCTGTGAGGCTGTCTCACATGAAAAGGTTCTGGCTTGCATCTAGAGACGTTTTTGAGTATGCTAGACACATGCCCATGCCCATGCCCATGATTTGGGGTTGGCTGTGGTTAGGGGTAGATTGTGGCATGAAGACCCTGTTCTATAATTCACTCATGGAATAAATACATAAATAAACATTAAAAATAAATAAGAAAGAAAGAAAGAAAGAAAGAAAGAAAGAAAGAAAGAAAGAAAGAAAGAACGAACGAACCTGGCAGTCCCTTCTCACCTGGAAACTGTTGGAATGACACCTGTGTTATCAGTATTCTACTGATATTAGGATACTATTAATAGGTTAATTGAAGTTGATGCAATTATTAGCCCCTGGATAGATATCAGCATTGTCTCTCACTTTCCTCTCACCCTTCAATATGGAGCGATTCCATGTCAGTCAGAACCCCGATGGACAGAACCTGATTGACACTGCTACTGAGCAGGCTCAGGCTACACGGGAGGCCCAGGTTTGATTCCTGGTCCACCCTAAAACCTGGGCATGGTGGCAAACACCTGTAATCCCAACAACTAGGGAGGCTGAGGAGAAGGAGCTCAACATAGCAAAAAGAAAGAAAGAAAGAAAG